AGAACAGGAAAGAAAAGACCTCAAAACTTGATACCATTTGCAAATCATTAGAGTCAATTAATAGAGATTTAACTGACCTTAAAAGAGATCAATCTAACAGATACATGACAAGCAGACTAGACAGTTAAATTATTATAATAATAAGAGGAAGTTTAAACCAACTAGTTGTTGTTGTTGTTTTATGATACTTATGATCCTAAATGAAGTGATATTTAAATAAATAATGTATACCTATTCTTACCAATCCAGCTGATGAATATTTAACAAAAATGAAGACATGGAATTCGAAATACACCGCTCCTTGTTACAAATCAACCCTTTTACATTGATGAGTTTCAGGTGGACCCCCTTCCTGCTCCCATTTGAACAGCTGTTTACTCAACTGCCTGTTCATCTGGTGGACACTTTAACCCGCTCCCTGTTGTTCAAAAATATTGACTCCAGGTGGACACCATCGTTCCTCTGCTTGCACATCAGAGTGGTCCTTTTTCCCGTAATATGACAAACCTGGAGAATAACAAAAACTCGAACCTGGAGAACGTTACTCTAAATGAGGAAATCAAATAGAATAAGAGACATTATACCATTACCATCAAATTAGCCTGAAACATTATGACCTAAAAGTTATTTAATGGACAGCTAATTACCATTTAGAGTGATGACATTGAAATTTTAAATGATTAACCAAAACAGTGCAATGTTTTGTATTCCACTTATAAAAGAAGTGATGCCACCTTTGAAAGCAAAGAGTGAAGTTTTATTATTGGTATACCTTGGGGGGTACCAAATATTGGCCACATATATGTTATAATATTTAATTACTATGATAATTATATTGTCTATATGACTTGCCGGCCTATGTGCTTAAATTAGCCAAGCGTTAATTTATTATGAATATTATTAAATGTACCAGCCATGATTGTGCAGTGTCCAACTGTAAGGAGTGTATTAAAGGCTGAGGATGTAATGAAGTATACTTCTGTTTAGATGAGCAGTTGGTAATAACCACTTCTCCAGGTGACCAACTAACCAATACACCCAAGCTCTCTATTCACTGTAAATATAAAATACATGTATTTATTTATGAATGTAATATTAGAGCTCTATATTTGAATGCGATATTTTTATGTTTGTGCCGAGTGAATGATACCTGTATACGTGACACTTTATATGATTGTTTTTATGCCATATAATTGAAGTTGTTATAATACAACATCCGTAAATTATTTTGTCAATTCCATACAAGTATGTTCCCACATGAAAATTTTGCAAATAGCAAATTTTAATTGTTATTGTGCATGTATAATAATTAATATATGCATTTATATGATGTAATAAAGTTAAACTAATTAACTCCTCTGTCAAATTAGTGTAAATAATAACCAATTATCAAATGATAATTACCCGATAAATAATTATCTCATAAATGTTGTGTTACCAATAACATTATTTAGGTAAAATGATAAACCTTCCGACTATAAATATACTTACCTTCCTACTATTCAGGGGCTGAATCCATGTGAGCGGGGTGCAATGTAACGATCAAGCCCATCATTTTACGTCCGAAAATAAACCCGTATCCGGAAAACTACTCAAGTACTAAAGTAATTAACTGTACTTCATGACATCAACTTTTAATCATCAAAACATACACTACATGTACAGATAACTTCATCCTTTTAATATTTACGGTGGTTATATTACTTAAAATAACTTATTTTCTACGTTGTAGCCGTTTTAATGTTCAATTAGCCACACGCTGCCAATTTAAACATGGCAGCTGGCACTGGCTAAATTTCTGCCCGCGCGAGATTGGCAGTGACGTCATCGAAGACGATGACGATACTGCCAAGCTAGGCACCCTAGCCAAGCTAGCCACCCAGCGTCCCAGACTATAAATAGCAGCTCGAATCTGCCAAAATTGTCAGTACCTTGGTAGATAGCCACCAGACCACATCTATACATTATTGAATATGGATGTATCTCCAGCCACCAGAAAGGTATATAATACTTTGTGCCAGTAATAGATTATATAGAAGTTTTATATTAAATCATCTAGTTTGGCAGTTTGGCATTATTTTCCATTTTATGATAGATCCTGACTGTAGACCATATTTTATAGCGATACCCATATACCAGGGTAGAACATCACTGTATTTTGTAGTTACCAAATTTTAGATACCCCATCAAAACCTTATTAGCATTTCATGGGAAAAACCTACCCTAGAATTGTTTCCAACCACAGGGAAGGGCGTGACACCGGGATTTGTCAAGCCTTTTTATTACATCTTTATTAACTTTTCTAGACGTAAAAAGAAAAAATATTCCTGACCCAAAAAAGAACCAAAGCCAAAACCCTCCACAGAAATACTATTTTAACCCAAATTTTTTTGTTTGTGAAAAGTATATTTTAAAAAATAGTTGTGTTTAAACTTATTTCAGGGGTCCGTTCTTTTAGTCCCCTTTGGGCCCTATTTTCCCTTAAACCAATTTTCGTGTGTTTTTAGAAGAACCCCCGTGTCGATATTAAGTGTGTCCCGGGTAAACAGACCCCGGGGACGTTCATTTTTCATGCTTTTAGTGTTTTGTTTCCTTCTTCCTTCTAGTTTTTGGTTTGCTTTTGTTTTGGTTTATGATATTGAAATGGCTTACATAACCGACAAAAATTCTTAAAGACCGCCCAAAACGCTAAAATTTATTATAATTGTAGGCTAGTTTTGATTGAGCATGTTCAGTTTCGATCCATGGGCCCTTGCACAACCTTAAGCAGAATTAATATTTAACTTTTACACATGAAGAAAAAAGTTCAGAAAAATGACGATATAATAATGATAGCTTTCTAAATTTCCCTGTCGCCTGTAGATTAACTTTTAATATTTGAATCAGATCACATATAGAAATGTTAAGTTTTCGCCTCATTTTTGCCCTGGATGTTAAGACTCATGTATTCGATGGTAGTTTGACTTTCTTGTAAATCTATTTAAACGATGAAAAATTAAAAAATGATATACTTCCTTAAGTTTCAATAAAATAAAGTTTCAATAAGATAATGTTAAGTCTTATAACATTAAGACCTGACTTGTGAGTTAAACATCACTTTCAAGTTGTCATCGTTTATTTATTTTTATCAACCTATTTTCCAATTTTTGGGAAAAAGAAAGTTGAAAATATAAATTGAAAGAAGGGAATAAAAACTTATTTTTTGCCGGAAAAGATTTTAAAATTCGTGTTTAAAAAAAATTGTTTTTATACAACTCTTCTGAATGGCAGTATGACAAACATGTTTTTTTTTGTTTGTTACTCAAAAGCAAGCCATCTTAATCGTAAAGAGGAAGTTTAAAAAAAAACAAATTGTTTGAAGTCATTTCAAACATAACACAATGAATTATTACCCTTTGCCCTGTCGTTTGTTTAAAAAATAGGCAAAACCTTTCAAAAGAAAAGTAAAGAATAGCATACAAATCAAGTATTTAGATTTTGAAAAATGAATTGCTTCAAAACAGTCAGCAAACCCTTTTGGTGATAAGGCTTTGCTTTACAAGTCTGAATACTGATACCAAATACTGTTATATAAGAAAAAAGAGGTAACAGCGTGCATACACAATATTTTTTCGCGACTTCTTCACCATGAATAAACAGGATTTTGCTATACATCATTCATTTTTTCTTCTGAATCTAAATCATACATATTTTTATATTTATTAATAATTTATTATTATTGCGGCGAGATTGTTTAACCGAATTTTGTACAAAGCTAACATTTAAACAGTCTTATAACATCGTATCAAGTATATATTCACTTCTCCATGAAAAAGCCAAAAAAAATGCATGCACATTTACTAAGTGAGATTATCACCTTTAGTTACAAGTTTGCTTTTTTTAAATAGTTCAAAGTATTCTATTGTTAGACTTACATCGTACTTTTATGTCGTAACGAATTTTATTTTTAGAAATAACTTATTTATTTCCTTAATACAAATTGCATTTATAAAAGTATAAAATACACAATGACAAATACACAAAATCAATATGCAAAATATATCAGATTTTTTTTTATTCGAAACAATTCAAAACAAAGTAATTCAAAATATTTACTTTTAGTTAAAGCATTTCACAAATAATGACCTGTTTTCGTTTTCTCTCTATAGGAAAACACTATCACCTGTTCGGAAACGTTCAAAATAAGGCTGTTACCGGGATTAAAGGGACAGGGGGATGGGGTCGGGAATAAAACAGAAAAGAGGAGCACAACATAGGAAAATGAGGGGTATGGAAAGAAAATATTTACGGTGAACGACAATTACACATAATAAAATGTGTTACGATGCAAAACATGTTGCAATTCGAGTCATACATGTATAAAAAGTAACACAGAGTTTTACGGCTTTGGGGCAACAGCTTTTGTGTAGTGTCCTGCTGGGTTCATTGTTCTGTATTACTAAATCGGTTGGGATACATATTTATTCAATTCCACCCTTCTATGTTGATCTTGTTTTCATGCATGGGTTAGATTAGGCGAAATAATTAAAATACTTATTTGATCATGTAAATAGTGATAGAAAAATATGAAGCCAAATGATTATAACAAACACAGGCACCGATGCCTTGGATGGAGGCAGACCAACAAAAATCACATACCAGGGCTTAAAAGAGGCGGACAACAGACGAACATAAAACATTTTTAAAACAGTCACAAACTCTTCCACTTGGATACGTAAAATGCAACCAAAAGAGGAAATCATAGCGTTAGCTTTAAAACACTACAGGCTGCAAACCGAGTCTGCAATTTTCAGGTAAATTTTTTGTGATTAATACTTTTGAGGGATCAGTTTATTTTCAGTTTTTAATACTACACAAGAGCATGTGTCAAGTACCGTGTCGCAGCTGTAAAGGGTTGCTACGTACTTCACTTCAGTGTTGTTATATTTTTCTGGTCCTTCGGGATCATTTATGTTAGCTTTATTAAGTGTTGAGAATTGAGAACCGCTTATTGAGTACATCTCAAGCGGGTGCGAGGGATGTTGCACTTATTCATTATCCTTCAGACTCAATCAAGCCGAGTGTGCAATTTTAATGCTTTCGTTTCCAGATTTTTAAAAGGGTTTAACATCAGTCATACATTATGCTTTACTTATTCCCGTACTTCACTTCAGTGTTGCTATATTTTTCTGGTCCTTCGGGGTCATTGATGCCTGCATTATTATATGTTGAGAATTGAGTACGGCACATGTCGGTGCTTGTTGCGTGAGTTATGTTTCACGTATTAATTATCCCTTATGTACAGACTCAATCAGGCAGGGTCTGCAATTCTCTTGTGGTTTTGTTGTGATTTATGCTTACGAGGGATCAATTGGATTCCAGATTTTTACGCAAAAAGGCAAAGCTTCGATGTTACAACATTAATAATTCCTTGCAAGGATTCTTAATAAACAATGATTTTGTGATTTTTAATAATGTGAATAGTTTTTGTTCTGGTTAGATAAAGGGTTTGTGCACATATATATGAAAGAAGCTAAATATATGAATAACGTAGTTTTAAATGCTTAAAACGACATATTTCAGGAATGGGTGTTAAATGTAAACAAGTTGATTATAAATATGTCTTTATTGTCTTTATTAGATGTGTGTACATATAAATATGTAGAAAAAAGAAGTTTGCAGAGAAAATTACCTTTGGTTCTATTAGGTAAACTGTTATTTTTTTTTTATCAGAAAACAAAACATTGTAAGAACATTTTATATCATATTGCTACGACTTTATCTTGACGTAACTTAGAAATGTAAATTATCATTACTGTACGACATTTTATAAAATATATAGTATATTTTTGGGAACGTTCACATATGTACTATTATTTAAAGATTTATTTTCGAATTTTACTTCCTTTTCTTTTAATTAAATTAGGCTGCAAATAAAAGTCAAAAATAACCTACAAGTATTCAACGATGCAACAGTTCAGTTGTAAATCTCCATGAAATGACCTTAAAACAAAAATTTAGTTTTATATTCGAATCAGTTCTTTTGACCTGTAAATGGCGGTTTGAGCACTGCCTTCGATATGCTAAATTTGTTCAAATATTCAGAAGGAGGTCGAACAGTTATAGCGTTTGAATTAAATAAAATCATTGCAGAATGTCAATAGAAAACTGAAATAAATGTTTGTTTTCCTTGATTTTTAGTTTACATATATTTACATTTAATCCATGCCGATCCAACAAGGCAGCTTTCTTGGTTAACTTATTTCACATAATTTCTGACTAAGCGTAAGACACAAACAAACTTTAGAAAATGTGCGACATCAATTGTTATTGCAAAATCATGCCTCTACATTGTATTTCTAGCTCCCTTATTGAGATATGTGGGCAGACGACGTGTTATATAATTACATAGTCATGCAAATGTATTATAAGCAGGAGAAGTTTTGTGGCGAAAAATGTGAAATTTGCGTCCATTTTTTAAGTAAAAATTAAAAGAGGATTGGGTATATTGTTTGTTAATAAGCTCCTTTTTAAAGGCCGGGTAATAAAAGTTTGAAAAAGTGTATAGTATTTGCTTGCACAATATTTGGTCTCAAACAACTTTGAACCTGGTATTGAGTTCGAATGATGGTCAATTTTAGTCAAAATGATAAAATCTAGTAAACTATAAACAAACAAAAACAATACAAATTTCAAACATTATCAAACAATCTGCGGCATTTCTAAAACAACCTTTGCAACATGTGTTTTCACAACTGATACATGAGGAACCCACTGAAAGACGTCCACCGGTGTTCATTGGTGAACAAATAACTGTGTGTCCATTGTGCCGTTACAAACACCTTTTCATTTTCCATAACCCGAGAAATAACATTGACTGAATTACAGCTTGAAGCTTTGTTTTCATATCCCGTGGTAGCTGTTATCTGTTTTGTTCCTTTCATAATTGCAACGACCATAGACTGTCCGGCTTGATGACAAATATGTGCTGAGAACTGATATACTCCAGCAATAGGAGCTTTAAATATTCCGGTAATAGGGTCATACCCGTTTCCGTCATTAAGAGAAACTTCCGGAAAAATTAGCACTCTTCCTTGCTTGTAATGACCATTGCTTTTTGTTGTGTATGCGTTAAACGCAACATTTCCTGTAAAAATATTATTACTTTATTCGGTACTTCGCACACGTTTTTCCTTACAGCTAAATTATGTCCTCTTTTAAAATTGGAAATGCTCTATGTAATATTCTTGCAAAAGGACTGTTAACGAAACGAAAAGAAATAAAAGTGTTTCAGTAACAAGTAAATGCTATATTTTGATCTTACTTGTGCAGGATATTCTTTCACACAGCTCTGCTTCGTGCCTGTCTCCGAAACAATGGTCTCCGAATCGCAATGGACGTGGGTTAGTGCAGGACCGTACCCGACGGCGTATCCCGATACCACATGTCGCGGAACATGTTCCCCATCTTTCCCATGGACTCCAGCCACCATGAACTAAAGATAAAGGCATGCCTTTTAACAATACTTGGGTGCGTTTCATAAACATCTTAGGACTGATTATAGCTGTAATGGCAAAACTGCGATAAAACTGCGTTTCAAGAAGTTTTAAGTACAATTTTAAGACTAAACTTAGGACTATTCCTTTTGGCGCCTCATGGCACTCCTGACTTGAAATATTAATTTTATAAATGGTTGCGCTAGCGTAACTTACCAGGACATTTTTGAAGATGACAAAATTTGTTTTGGCTTCCCCTTCCTTGACAATGAAGGCCTCCATTTTGTGGCGCTGGATTAGTGCATGTGCGATGACGAACCTCTGAACCTATTCCACAAGTGACATCACAGGATGACCATGGTGACCACGGGGACCAATGTCCATCAACTGCAATTTGGAAAAATGCTTTCATTTAGAGCGTGTAATGTATTTATTTATATATTTATCTTCAGATTATACTATTGTTTTATAAGAATTTATACATTCTCGTACAAAGTAGTGGATTTCATTTAATCTAATTCGGTTAGCAATTAATGTTTGAAATAAAACTTAAATTAGTTTTGATTCCGTTTTTAATTCCACAACCTTTTTTGGCTCTTATGGGTGCCAGTGTTAATTTGCAAAAAATTGTCAGCTGTTTTAAATATAAATAAAAATATTTCTCACCTGTCGTAAATTATGAGTATGTTTTCGTAAATACTTTCACAGCATTTATTGATCTCCTTCTCAGCTTATGTTGAAACATAATCTTTAACACGATCTATGTAAATTTTAATGCGATTTAATTAATGATAAGAACTCAAGTCAGACATACCTAAATTACAAAGATTGCAATATCTTGGACAAATTTTCTTTGCTTGTGTTGTTACTTTACAAATACTAAACATGGAATTCAATTTCGCACAATCAGTTGATTTATCATCCTTGCACATGGTGTCTGCGAAAAAAAGTCCAATAATACTCTTAGTAATGTATATAACAATATACAATGTACTACCAAGAAGATGTCACGCTTATTGTGAGACAAACCGCAAATGACGTCAGCATTAGCGTAGCCATTTTGAAATGGACGTGACGTCAGGTTATAACACAAGTCAACGGGAATAAAATATAATTTTAACATTTTAACTATAGAACTAACTTTAAAGAAATGAAACACATGCCTCGAGCTATTGACGTTAGGGTTAATAAGGCATTAATTCAAATTATTTTACTAGTATATTTTATAAAAAAATGAAATGTTCAAATTTGGTGACAAAGACTATATTGTGTTCCAGAGATAATGGATTCTTTTCACCGTATTTATATCAAAAAGTGCAAAGTTAATTGTAAGACACAAAATGATACTTCTGAAAAAGTCAATGTGATTGACTAATTACATTTGATTGCACACTATTGACACAGTATTGATTTTATTTAATACCACAAAATACACATTTGCCATCATTTATACATGATGTATTTTTTATTGATATAGACTTAAAAAAGCGAGTACATTATATGGATTAAACATATTTATTTAAGCGCGATTGCGTAACAAGTTCTTGCAACTAATATTAATCACTATCTAGTCCGCTTCTTCGAACCAACCAGTACTGGCATGAAGAAACATGGTCGTGACCCGAGGAAGGCTCGAACCCATCATCTCTGGGTTGAGAGGCAGAAACATTGACCACTAGGCCACCGCTCCCCTTAACTGCATTATTTGTTTTGTCTTAAACATTATTTTCTTTTTTTCATCTAATGTTAAGCAACAATAACATTTATATAGTTTTAGTTTGTGTCAGCTCTTACTTGAGGGATAAATACATAGTCCATTGTTGCATTTATCTGTTGAGCAACACTCTTGACAATAGCTAGTTTGTTCAACGTTCATTTTGCTAACCTCCGATGTATTTTGAATTTGAGCATATTCACCACAACGCTGAAATATGAAATATATATCAATGCGGCAAATGTCTCCACAGGAAGTCTGGAAAAGGATGATTTCTCAGAAGCATGAACATCAAAATAACATTAACATTGCAGACTTGGTTCGATTTAGTCTGTACATAAGGGATAATGAAAAATTGCAACATCAGTAAAGCCATTTTCGAATTTCGAGTGACTTAATACATTGGTTTTAAATTTCTTCTTCGATAAGCTTGTCGTTACTTTACTGTCCAGGCAAAAATGTAACTTTACTGATTTTTCTAAGTTAATGTGTAATGTTAAATTAATTTATAAAAACATTCCTTATTTTGACATTTTCATACCGGAACTTGAATTATTATTATTGATATCAATTTATAGTGTTGCTTTGGTTTTCAAACTAGCCTTATTTTAAAAATACTTTGTCACTGATAGTTACATGTTAACACGACATAAATGCAAGAAAACAGATAATGAACATAAAAATATATATTACCATTTTGTCAATACACCCTAGGCTTAACCGAATTTGTGTTGTATATTCCCGCTTTTTATAGCACACCTTTGGGCAAAATAAATAGAAATAATGTCTGACAAGAGTTTTATACATTTCAATAAGATAGTTATCAGAGCTAATTTAATATAATTTCGATATAATACCCTCCTAAGAAGCAAACAAAGGATTATGTCGACGTGTTCGATCAGGCTTGGTTGGTTATTCTAAAATTGACTGCAATATTATCAAAACATAAAGAAGTTGCTTGTTCTTTTTTTAAGATACCATTTTTCAATATTTTGAAGAAAGTAAAGTATGTAAAGATATTTCTTTTCAAGATATTATTACACATTTCGCCATTTTCACCATTATTTTTTAGTAATACACTTTATACATATAAATGTATTTCACATTTTTATGGAATAAATTAAATGCTGCACTTAAAGGGACATCATTTATTCATTATCAGACTGCTTTGTCAGTAAATTTCTAATTGTTTCAAAAATCTGCATTTAATCCTAAAAGTTGAAAGCATTTTTGCAAACCACATCGAATTTTACATTATCTTTTTTTTCACAAAATCAAATAAGACCTTGAATTGTGCTTCTTCACCATTCTGATATGTAATTGTTTTTTACCTGTCCCTCTGAACATATTGCAATGGATTTACTACATTCACTTAAGCTGTTTGCACCGGAACATTTGAAACAAGAGAGAGACGCTGAAACGTGATTGAAAATAGCATAATTAGAGCTGAATGCTTAAAGCCACGTGCCTCAAAATAAGACAAAATATTTCAATAAAATAAAACTTGAGACAAATGTACAGAAATATAAGAAAAAAATACATTAATATTTGCGATTAATGACTGATTTTTCAGTATTTTCAACTTTATTTATACTGCGTTACAAAAGCAGTGAACGCTATTTATCCATTTCAGACCACGTTTTTGGTTAACGTCGTTTGTAAGTGCCAGTGATAATGTGTAAACTGCTTCCTATACCTTATTTAAAAATGTAACACATTATAATGGCCGTGAAGTACGCGGGCTAACGGGCTACCAGTCTAGCGGGCTTTTAGTGTGAAATGAGCGGGATAGCAGTCTAGCAGACAAGCAGTGTGAACTGGGCGGGCTAGCAGTCTAGCGGGATAACAGTGTGAACTGTGTGGACTAGCAGTCTAGCGGTCTAAACTCTTAAACTTAACGGATTCAACATGAAAACGTCATGATACATTACCTGGCAATGTGAAGTGGGCGGGCTAACAGTGTAACGGGCTAGCAGTGTGAACTTGGCGGGCTGGCGGGCCAGCGGGCTTAACTTTAATACTTAATTGAATCAAAATTAAAACCTTATGATTCATTTCCTAGCAGTGTGAAGTGGGCGGGCTTTCAGCGTAACGGGCTAATAGTGTGAACTTGGCGGGCTGGCGGGCCAGCGGGATAAACTTTAATGCTAAATTGAATCATCATTAAAACGTTATGAAACATTTCCTAGCAGTGTGAAGTGGGCGGGCTAACAGTGTAGCGGGCTAACAGTGTGAACTTGGCGGGTAGGCGGGCCAGCGGGCTAAACTTTAATACTTAATTGAATCAAAATTAAAACCTTATGATACATTTCGTAGCAATGTGAAGTGGGCGGGCTAACAGTGTAGCGGGCTAATAGTGTGAACTGGGCGGGCTGGCGGGCAAGCGGGCTTAACTTTAATGCTTAACTGAATCATCATTAAATCCTTATAAAACATTTGCTAGCAGTGTGAATTGCGGGCTAACAGTGTAGCGGGATAGCAGTGTGAATAGGGCGGGCTGGTGGGCCAGCGGGCTAAACTTTAATACTTAATTGAATCAACATTAAAACTATATGATACATTTTCTAGCAGTGTGAAGTGGGCGGGCTTACAGTGTAGCGGGAAAACAGTGTGAACTGGGCGGGCTGGCGGGCCAGCGGGCTAAACTCTAAAACTTAACTAATTGAACATTAAAACGTTATGATACATTACCTAGCAGTTTGAAGTGGGCGGGCTAACAGTGTAGCGGGCTAGCAGTGTGAATAGGGCGGGCTGGCGGGCCAGCGGGTTAAACTCTAAAACTTAACGGATTCAACATGAAAACGTCATGATACATTACCTTGCAGTGTGAAGTTGGCGTGCTAACAGTGTAGCGGGCTAGCAGTGTGAATTGGGCGGGCTGGCGAGCCAGCGCGATAACTTTAATGCTTAATTGAATCAACATTAAAACCTTATGAAACATTTCCTTGCAGTGTGAAGTGGGGGGCTAACAGTGTAGCGGGATAGCAGTGGGAACTGAGCGGGCTGGCGCGCCAGCGGGCTAAACGTTAATACTTAATTGAATCAACATGAAAACGTTATGAAACATTTCCTAGCAGTGTGAAGTTGGCGGGTTAACAGTGTAGCGGGATAGCAGTGTGAACTGACCCCATAGAATAATGACCTCCCCTGTAATTATTTTATATAGAATAATGACTCTTGACAATACTGACATCTCATAAAATAATGACCCCCTCCCCCGATTTGATCTATAACATGTTATGACTTCTATGTAAAATAATGACTGGGGATCATTATTCTATGGGGTCAGTATATAACGTTACATTCGCCATCAGCATGGAACTGTTGTGACGGTCTTCATGCCGCAATCTTTTTCCTGCGTGTCTCCATCCATCTAAATATCTACTGGATCGAACATCCCGACAAAACGTTCCTAGCTCGCGGGTGAAATCACCAAATCACCGACACAGCCAGGCAAGCCTGGCTTCCGACTGAAATAACAGACACCTCTAGTCACCCTAGCTCCTGAGTGCACCTCCCAGACCTGACATTAAACCGCTGATTACTCGTTATTAAATAAAGAGTAAAAATATGAGAGAGGTTATTTGTGTGGCTGGCTTTGCTCGTCAACTTTAACACCTTAATTATTAACAAACATTACATTTCTGTCAGAAATGTACAATTAGCTAATATTTTATTACTGGCCGCTGCGCATGTCCTGAGAATTTTCGTCTGATTTTTCAAATTAATATATCAGTGGAAGGCTCATTGGCTTAATCTTTGATTGAGTTATAATTCAATATATCTTATCACATTTTAGAAACTTTTGCTTACGATTTGTATTGATCGATACAATAGCGACTTGTATTTACTCGCAAAATAAATCTATAATTTATCACAGCAATTGCTCCATGAAGTACTGAAACCACAACTGTTATACTTCAAGCCCAGCCGATTCCACATAAAATCCCCATATAATGAGGAAACTCTGATGGTACATCTGTCTGTATCGTTATGCCGTCGCTTTGTGATTTTTCGTAATTAGATTTGTGAAGATAGTGCAGGAAGTACAGAAGATGGCCCATTTCAGAAGCATACCTGGATCTTTTATGTGTCAGGTGTAAAACACCGATACACGGGATATCGCTTTAAAGTCCCATCCGAAAGACTTTTGGTAATGTTTGGGAGGAGCGGGGGTCGAACTCAAGACCCCTGGATTATATACCAGACCACAGATCCGCTCCTAAATAAATCGCCAGATTCCTAGATGTCCTTATATTTATGGACCAGCTTCTGTCATTGTACGAAATATACAGCCATGTATGTACCTGTGCATCTTCTGCTTCACTACATGAGGTTCTACATTTGATTGCCCTACTACTAAAATCTTATGTTGCAGTGTTTTTGTTTTGTTTCAGTTAAGATTGTCGTGTTTTTTTTCCTGTATATCATGCATCCCTTGAATATCAATACGGATTTTAAAAACATTTAGTGACAATTGTCAAGGATCGTGTATACCATATGAAATAAGCATTGTTAGCCCGCCGAGTTCACATTGCTACGAAATGTATCATAAGGTTTTAATGTTTATTTAAAGAAGTATTAAAGTTTAGCCCGCTGGCCCGCCAGCCCGCCCAGTTCACACTGCTAGCCCGCTACACTGTAGCCCGTCCACTTCACACTGCTAGGATATTTATTATAACGTTTTCATGTTTAATCAGTTAAGTTTTAGAGTTTAGCCCGCTGGCCCGCCAGCACGCTCAGTTCACGCTGCTAGCCCGCTACACTGTAGCCCGCCCACTTCACACTGCTCGGATATATATCATAACGTTTTCATGTTGAATCCGTTAAGTTTTAGAGTTTAGCCCGCCAGACCGCCCAGTTCACACTGCTAGCCCGCTACACTGTTAGTCCGCCCACTTCACACAGCTAGGTAATGTATCATAACGTTTTAATGTTCAATAAGTTAAGTTTTAGAGTTTAGCCCGCTGGCCCGCCAGCCCGCCCAGTTCACACTGTTAGCCCGCTACACTGTTAGCCCGCCCACTTCACACTGCTTGGATATTTATTATAACGTTTTCATGTTTAATCAGTTAAGTTTTAGAGTTTAGCCCGCTGGCCGCCAGCCCGCCCAGTTCACACTGCTAGCCCGCTACACTGTTAGCCGGCACACTTCACACTGCTAGGATATATATCATAACGTTTTAATGTTCAATTAATTAAGTTTTAGAGTTTAGCCCGCTGGCCCGCCAGCCCGCCTAGTTCACACTGTTTGCCCGATACACTGTTAGCCCGGCCATTTCACACTGCCAGGTAATGTATCATAACGTTTTCATGCTCAATCAGTTAAGTTTTAGAGTTTAACCCGCTGGCCCGCCAGCCCGCCCAGTTCACAATGCTATCCCGCTACACTGTTAGCCCGGCCATTTCACACTGCCAGGTAATGTATCATGACGTTTTCATGTTGAGTCCGTTAAGTTTTAGAGTTAAGCCCGCTGGCCTGCCATCCCGCCAGCCCGCCCAGTTCACACTGCCAAACCGCTACACTATTAGCCCGCACACTTCACACTGCCAGGTAATGTATCATAACGTTTTCATGTTCAATCAGTTAAGTTTTTGAGTTTAACCTGCTGGCCCGCCAGCCCGCCCAGTTCACAATGCTTTACCGCTACACGGTTAGCCCCGCCCACTTCACACTGCTAGGTAATGTATCATAACGTTTTAATGTTGATTCAATTAAGTATTAAAGTTTAGCCCGCTGGCCCGCCAGCCCGCCCAGTTCACACTGCCAGCCTGCTACACTGTTAGCCCGCCCACTTCACACTGCTAGGTAATGTATCATAACGTTTTAATGTTGATTCAATTAAGCATTAAAGTTTAGCCAACTTGCCCCGCCAGCCCGCCCAGTTCACACCGCTAGTCCGCTACACTGTTAGCCCGCCCACTTCACACAGCTAGGTAATGTATCATAACTTTTTTTCATGTTCAATAAGTTAAGTTTTAGAGTTAAGCCCGCTGGCCCGCCAGCCCGCCCAGTTCACACTGTTAGCCCGTGCCTGAAATAATGCACGGAAGGGCACCTGAGGTTTCTTCCTCCACCAGTAAAGCTGGAACGTCGGATATGACCTATACTGTGTCGATGTGACGTAAAACCCCAAACAAACAAACAAACAAACAAACAAACACTGTTAGCCCGCTACAACTGTTAGCCCGCCCACTTCACACTGCTTGGATATATATTATAAAGTTTTCATGTTTTATCAGTTAAGTTTTAGAGTTTAGCCCGCTGGCCCGCCAGCCCGCCCAGTTCACACTGCTAACCCGCTACACTGTTAGCCTGCACACTTCACACTGCTAGGATATATTATATCATAACGTTTTAATGATCAATTAGTTAAGTTTTAGAGTTTAGCCCGCTGGCCCGCCAGCCTGCCTAGTTCACACTGTTAGCCTGCTACACTGTTAGCCCGACCATTTCACACTGCCAGGTAATGTATCATAACGTTTTCATGTTCAATCAGTTAAGTTTTTAGAGTTTAACCCCGCTGGCCCGCCAGCCCGCACAGTTCACACTGCTAGCCGCTACACTGTTAGCCCGCCCACTTCACACTGCCAGGTAATGTATCATGACGTTTTCATGTTGAGTCCTTAAGTTTTAGAGTTTAGCCCACTGGCCTGCCAGTCCGCCAGCCCGCCCAGTTCACACTGCCAACCCGCTACACTGTTAAGCCCGCCCACTTCACACTGCCAGGTAATGTATCATAACGTTTTCATGTTCAATCAGTTAAGTTTTTGAGTTTAGCCCGCTGGCCCTCCAGCCCGCCCAGTTCACACTGCTATCCCGCTACACTGTTAGCCCGCCAACTTCACACTGCTAGGTAATGTATCATAACGTTTTAATGTTGAATTTTAATTAAGTATTAAAGTTTAGCCCGCTGGCCCCAGCCCACCCAGTTCACTCTGCTAGCCCGCTACACTGTTAGCCCGCCACTTCACACTGCCAGGTAATGTATCATAACGTTTTAATGTTGATTCAATTAAGTATTAAAGTTTAGCCCGCTGGCCTGCCAGCCCGCCCAGTTCACACTGCTAGCCCGCTACAGTGTTAGCTCGCCCAGTTCACACTGCCAGGTAATGTATCATCAAGTTTTAATGTTGATTCAATTAAGTATTTAAAAGTTATCCCGCTGGCCTGCCAGCCGGCCAGTTCACACTGCTAGCCCGCTACACTGTTAGCCCGCCCAATTCACACTGCCAGGTAATGTATCATATAACGTTTTAATGTTGATTCAATTAAGTATTAAAGTTTATCCCGCTGGCCCGCCGGCCGCCCAGTTCACACTGCTAGCCCGCTACACTGTTAGCCCGCCCATCTTCACACTGCCAGGTAATGTATCATGACGTTTTCATTGTTCAATCCGTCAAGTTTTAAAGTTTATCCGCTGGCCCGCCAGCCGGCCCAGTTCACACTGCTAGACCGCTACACTGTTAGCCCGCCCACTTCACACTGTTAGCCCGCTAGACTGCTAGTCCGGCCAGTTCACACTGTTAAGCGCTAGACTGCTATCCCACCCAGTTCACACTGTTATCCCGCTAGACTGCTATTCCGCTCAGTTCACACGGCTAGCCCGCTGGACTGCTAGCCCGTTAGCCGGCGTACTTCACGGCCATCACATTATAATACATTTTTCAAAATGTTCATGAAAATAATCATGAATCTAGAAGCGCGCTGCTTTAAACATTAATGTTATTATTTTCTTGACATACATCATATCTTAAAGTGATCGCGTGATTAAGTATGAGAAGATATGACAAGGAACACATTTCCACACAACACAACTTATTTCAAGTTTAATGCTTTTAAAATGAATCGTAAAAGATCCTGTAACACATTATTTTTATGGTTTTATATACAAATTATGATGCTCAAATTAAGATTTATCGATATTGTAAGTTTCAAAAAACATTATTTATAAAGCTATTACAGAATTTTAATATTTCATGTAAATAAAGGGAGGTAATTAGAATTTAGTTTTCTATAAATTCTAAGTCAATTTTTCCAATAAGAATGAATGCATATATTCTAATGATTACCTTTAAATATGTACAAATATTTGCAAAACATATTTTACATAATTTATTTTCCATGTTTAAAATTTGACAAATTTGCATAATTACATACATATATAGTTCAATGAAGAGTAGTATGCAATTCAAATACAAAACATACAGGATCTTTAATTTACGTGAAACATTAAGGAAACTAATGAATGTTCTAACTTACCTGTACAGCTGATTGTAGATAAAGTTGAGAAACAATGTAGAGACTGAAAATACAAAAGAGTGGAGTAACTTATTGTAACAAAATATACATAAATATAATAATAAATTCAAACCTTGATTCATCTTGATGTTTTCATGGCGTAGTCATGACACTATTTATTATTGACATTGGGAATAAAGTTTTTTCTTAAAAACTAAACCCGATTTATTTATCCAAACTTGAGTAATGATCAAGTAAATCTTTATAAAACTTACAGTTAATGGAAATTATCGTTAATTCACGATTTCATGAATGATAAGTAATCAAAGTAATAAAGATACAGATATCATTTTATTATCAATAAAATTGTAAAATCATTAAGAAGAACTCTACAGTGTAGCATCATTTTCTCTTTATTATTTGTCCTTTGTATCTTGTATATGACTCTTTATTCTGTTGTATAATAACAGTCAGAATGCATAAATTAGTACAAACCTTTAATAGTAGTAGTTGAAAATAGAAAAAAAAAACCTGATTTAAAGGTATGTTTTGCCCCACATACGTTACTGCTATGGCCGTTCAAATATTGATACGGTTTTTTAGATACGATATACGAGGGATGTTCGAACATTACATAGAGTTTTATCATAAAAACAGAAATGTGACACAGGAGAAACTAAAAGTTTTACACTCATGTGTTTTCAATTTATACCTGATAAACGATAGGTACAATAGAGATATTAATAGTATTGCAGATGACCTTTTGTCACACAGTTTAGATACGCAATAGTAACAGTAATCCTGGGCAGCCCAAAATATACCGATGTATATTCATCATTAAAATATCACTGATTAATAAAATTGGGTGTCAATAGTTGTTTTTGTAAATTCCGCCAAAATATAAATGTAATATTTATAATGTCTTTGTAGATGTGCATGTCATTTCAGATTCAAAGGAAGATGACGGCCGTCTGGACAGATCCAGAGCTAGCGGAGATGTTTAAACTGCGTGTTGCCACACTTCGTGGAATTCTTCACCCCGCATTAAAACATGTCAAAAGGTAGATTTGCATTAATATCTATGTTCAAGCAAAGTTCATTTGATGATAGTTGTATAATATATATGTATCGAATGTATTTATGATTTATATAATTATTAACTATAATACTCGTTAAAGGATTTTCAAATACGAGATACAGCGTTTAAGTTTATTTCAAATTTGCATTCAGGCCACCGGCCCATACACATGTATGCATTTAATATATATATAATATATATTATATATTATATATATATATATATATATAATATATTATAATATATATATATATATATATATATATATATATATAAATTTGGAGAAAATAAACGTTCATGACAGTGCTAAAGTATAAATACCCAAAAGTACTTTCGGCGTATTATGCCTTCATCAGGGGTGTATTTACATGTAATAATGTGCACACAATAAATGAGCACAAAATCTCAATACGTGTGGTTAACTGTATAGTAATCAAAAATTGAACTGAAACACAGTCGCTAGAAAGGTGATAAAATTACATTCGATTCATGAACTAGGACCGTTATTGAATGGTCATTGTGTAGTACTTTACAAAAAAGAATATAGCCTGCGGTCAATATGGTATAAAACTCGGTTAAATATATTTCTATAAAAACTGTGTTTTAAAGAAAAAAAAAATATAAAACTAAAAAAAATAAATAATAAAACTTCACATGTAGGGGCGTATAGTGTTTTTATTACTATAAGTAATGATGTAAGAAAATGCAAGTTACAAACAGTATGATGTTATATGAAGTGGAAATTTACGATAAGGTGAAAGTAAAAACGAAAGCTCTTCAGGCAGGGAAAAATAGCCCTCCCCGACACCGCCTGATGACCAAAGTTAGGTTTTAAAGTTTTGTCAAGAATGGCGAGACTAAGTGTGTTAAAATTAGTCTCCTTTATTGATTCCTGATGGCTCTAGCGTATTCAGTCGGCGAATCCCAATTGTTCATCGCGTGATTTCGGTGTTATATCTGACCACTTTGTGTTATCTTTTTGTTCAATACAACAGAGGGACACGTTCTTTAAAAACTGTGTCCCTAAAGGTGAAAATGTTCAGCAACTGGGGGATCTGTTAAATTTTCGCGTTTTCCAGTCAGAGCGGTGTAAGTTCATTCGTTTATTTTAATGGAAGTTTGGTTTCACCGACATATTGTTTGTTTAGCATACTTTGCAAGAAATAAGATAAATAACGTTAGCCGTTTTACAATTTCATTATGTCTTTGAGAGATGTTTTGGCCCTTTTTTGAAGAGAATGTTTTTTTAAGAAAGCATGACAGCACAGGTTTGGCATCTTGGTGTGCCACATGTTCCCGGACTGACCTTCTTTATCTGTGTCATTATTGGTCTCAGTTTTGGGCTCGAACAAGTATGTCGCTGAGGGCTTTTAGGTCTCCTATAAGCAATGTTGGTTTAGTTGGGAACATCTTGTTAAGTTTTTCTGTGAAGACTAAATAATTGGCCAATGTTTGTCAATGATGGGCTCTAGTGTTAGGTAAGTCTGGGTGATATGTGAGAACAATGGAATTTTTTTTGTGTAGAAACCACTAGATTGATATTTGTACTCTCAGTAAGTCCTTCCTGTGCTTTGCTGTCTGCATTTAAGATCGCGTTTGCAATGTCTTCTTCCTTGTATCCTTCGGCTTCTAAGATGTTCAGACAGTTCTTTTTGCTCTGATATAGAACGTGCTGGATTTTTGAACAAGATTCGTTTGATTCTCAAAGCAAAACTGCTATGGTTATGTTCTTACAAACAGTGTCGAGGGTGGCAGCTGCTTGGAAGAAGGTATTGAATGTTATCGGTGGGTTTTGATACAAATCCAATAATTATATTTTGATTGTCTTTATATGAGATACTGTGTGAGAAAAACATGTTTGTTTCGTTTGATACTTCAGAGGTGAAACTTTATAGATTTGTGAAAAGTATTAGCTCTGTAAAAGAAAATCTTGCGATAATATATAAACACAATAGCATAATGACATGACAGCTAGTTAGGATAAATAACATCGCATAATATACAGATTTACATAGAGTTTGTATAAAGTAACAAATGACATGTTGTTCAGAGCAGCATTTTAGCCAATTTTCACAAAACATATAATTATGTAATAAGATTTAGCAACTGACATAAAGACATTTAAGATAAAGATTCATTTCGCAGTTTTAAATGCATAAATAAAAAACATTAAATATGTTGAAAAAGTTCTTATTTACGTTTCCTTATAGAATCAATTAATTTATTGCATGAAATGATAACCTTCTGTTCATTTTTTTAGATTCGCGCTAGATTAGTTACAATAGACCTTAGTAAAATTACGAGAAAAGAGCGGCAGGCGAACGAGTCAGGGGCGTTTCTCCGCGGCGGACACTCTAGCGAGGGAGACATGTTTTTTTTGAGATGAATGAAATGTAATTTTGAATTAACCATTAATTTAATAAAGCGAGTGGATCCATCACCACCAACGTTGCATTGAGTGGCAATTGCGAGTATTCTTAAGGGAAAAACAAGGTTAGAATAAAAACTTAATTTCAGTAAAAATAAAAAACTATAAATTTAATAAATCTGCAAATGTTCTGCCGCCAAATAATAATATTAAACGGAATAAAACAAATTTCAATCGCTAAAAATCACCGATTTCTTACAAATCAGAGTAAGCGCGGCCATGTTTGTGTATTGGGCCGTGTAAAAAACAGGTGCGCGTGATGTCATTTCCCCACATCTTTTAGATTCATGATAAATCTAGTTGAATCGTAAGGAAATATTAATATAATGAAGTAAATTGACCAGGACAATTTAATTTTCACATGAAAAAAAATAAAGAGGTGTAGAGGATATTTTTTATGTTCAAAATACGTTACAATATAAAAAAAAATAATAAAAAAAATAAAGAACGTACGGCTAGCTACGAAAGTTCTAGCCGTACGTGAGTCACGAAATCACTAGCCAGGTATTGTCTCGCCAGTACGGCACTTTTCAAAATTAATATGTGGAAGTCGAACGTTTATAAAATTGTTGATTTTCATGCTTATCATTTGTTGTTTAATTTCTATGAATTATTTAATCATTTTTTGTTAATTTTTAAGCACATGGATCGAATAAAAATTGATCGGAGTGGAATAAATAAATAAAAAGAACATTGAAATGAAAAAAAAAAAACGGTGAAATGCAAAAATAATTATATAATTTTAAAAACATGTAGATAAATATCAAACGTAAAAGCACAGTCAAATCAAATTAATTAGCCTTAATTAAAAACCTATCCAGGGACTGACAATAGAATTTATAGAATGCCTTTTACGGAACATGCAAACTTTTTCCTTGTTTGTTGTTTTTTTTTTTTCATATGTTATAATTGATGTACACATTTCAAAAAATATTAAGCAACTCTTTTTCAAAAGTAAATTGTTTTTAACATGTCTGTCAACGTATGACACGTATGATGCTGCGCCATCGTAATCGTAGCCTAATATTAACCTGCAGGCAAATTCATTTTTATTGGCTGCTCAAAAATCTAATTTGCATAATTTATTTCAAGCACAATTGCTGGTTCTTACTACTGAATTATGTCTAATATTGCACATTGTCCATTTTAATTTGCTTCCTAATTCGTGTCACACTGTGTGTACCGACGATTTTTTTTTGCTCCCTTT